AGGATGCCGATGTCGTAGAAGAGATGCTAGGGTCAACCAATGATATTGAGGATACATATATAGTTGACTCTAGTGTCATTGATACTGAGGATGTTGACAATCTTACACTAAAAAAAGGATGTTGACAACCCAATGTTCATGTAGTAGAGCGCATTGATCCGCACTCCAAGCATTTTCCCACATTATTTTTGGATGATGATATGGAAATAGAGTCGTCCGAGCCACTTGAGGAGTCAAGGAGTAAGGAACAAGATGCCTACATTCTGGAGTTCTTCTTGCCAGAAAGTCGGGAATACACATCTCATCCAAAGGCCAAGAAGTGCAGAATACTATATTATTTTATTGGTCCAGTCAGATTCGTTCTACCACCCCAGGAGCATGATCACAAAGCAAAATCAAAACTTGGGGTCCAATTCATAAGTTCGAAGTGGAGGCAAAAAGTGATTCGCGTCGTGCTACGATGTTAAATCAAGCGCTTGTTGGGAGGCAACCCATCTTTACTGCTTTCTTTTATTTTATTTTTAATTAAATTAATTTTGTAGTGTCGATTTTTTATTTTCTAGGAACATGGAAAGCAAAGCTATTGAAAGGATGCAACAGCAAACCAGATGGTTGGAACTCAGTGTGAGGTACCTGCACGAAAAACCAAGCCTGGGAGAAATCTGAGTACCCCATAAGCTGCTAGCGCTTCGTCCTTTGGCCTACCAGGGAGTTTCTTTTACCCGTTTATTAGTTATGGTGTGCATTGGGGACAATACACAAAATTAAGTGTGGGGTGAGGAGATTGTCTGGGTGACTTTCTATGCTATTTTAGTTGTGTTAATTTAATTGAATAATGTTTTTATTTTTTTAAAAAAAAAGGATTTTCTTTGTAGGTAGTGTAGTAATTCCCCCTTGGTTTTTCTTTGTGTCGCGGTTCTTTTCCAAGGGTTTTGTTTGAACCGGGTGTAGTTAGTTTTTTTTTATTTTTATGGAGTAGGAGCTAGTGTGAGATGAATTGAATTGAAACAATATCTCTTGACCTTGTTATGCCTTGAGAATAGTGAGTACTTTGGTTGTGACGCTTAGGCTCAGTTTTTGACTCTTGTATAAGTACCTTAAATCGTATGATCTTGAATTTTCTTAACTTCTTTGACTAGAGTGTCTTGATAAAAAACCAATCCTGAATGAGTTATGTGCCATGTGTATGTAAGGTTCTGTTGTATTCTGTGCATTGCAATTGATGTCCAGAACTTGCCCCGTGTGTTTACAAAGCGAAATAGTAGTTTTGTTCAGTCTTGGAAGTGATATAGGCGCTTCTTTGTTGAGCCATATATATATTTTACCTGCCTAATTGTTATGTATCGTAGTTAACCCCTTTGAGCCTGTAATCTTGTTTCTTTGGCAACCACATTACAAGCCTACCCAATTGTTTGAATCAACCATCTACTTGAACCTTTTCAGCTCTCATGAGCACTTGAATTGTAATGAACTTTGTAAAAGTTAAAGTGTGGGGTGGTTGGTTTGGCTTTTGAGTGGAGCTAATGAAATAAGGAGAAAGGTTCACTGTGTTGACAAAAAAAAGTAAGAGCCACTTAAATTGAAAAAAAAATAAAGAAAAAAATAGTTGTATTGTGTGCAGATATTCATTGATAAGTGGTAACTCTTGATGTAATTGTGCTTAAATAACTTGGGAGTTAAGTATATTGATGTGAATGTGGAGTTATGGTTTGACATAAGTGTGGGGTTTGAATGTTAAAATATATGTATTAAAGTGCTTAGAGAGGTGTAGTCACTCTCATATCCAAATGTATCCTACTCGACCCGCAGCCTACATTACAACCAATGAAAGTCTTATTTGATCTTAGACAGAATGAACTCGATTAGTGAAATATTACACTAAGGGCAAGCTTATGGTACGTCATTTGGGGCATATGAATGTTTTTTCTAAGAGCGAGTGAATTTTTCCTATCTTGAGTTCCTACGCTATTAAAATTCTGGTGTGTGGAACTAAGCTCTTTGATTGGTGAGGGCACATGACTCATAAAGGAAAGGTAATGTCATTGACCTCTATGTTAGAGTAAGTGAGTGAATTATGAATAATGCATGGTGCTTGCGAGTCAAATCTTGAGGTGAAGATGTTACACCTTTGTGCTTAGTATATTTTAAATATTCTTGGTATGACGAGTTAAGGGAATTGCTTAAAAAGGTCGTGTCCATAAGTGTTGCTTGATTGCTCGAGGACGAGCAAATGTTTAAGTGTGGGGTATTGATGCGTGGCTATAATTCATGATTTTTGCACATTATATGCCTTGCATTTTACATGCTTTAATGTTAAAATACACTTTGTTTGAGCGTAATGGAGGCTATTTTATGTGCAGGTGCATCGGAAATAAAAGTAGAGCTAAAGGGATGCTTAAATGTCGAAAGGACGCTCGAGAACGGTGAAAAGGAGAAGCCGGGCAAAAGTCAGCTAACTAGGCTTTATCCAGGTGAGGCCAGCTTAAAGCCAGGCCTAGGCTCGTTGTATCCAGGCTAGGCCAGCTTAAAGCCAGGCCTAGGCTGGCGTTATCCAGGCGTTATCTAGGCGACACCAGGCCTAAGGCCAGGCCTAGTCCGAGTTTTAAAGGTTTTAAGTGTTTTCCGGTTTGACTAGAAGTTAACCTACACGTTTAGGACTTGTCCCAAACATATAAATAAACCTAAAAACGTCACTTTTGACGAACAATAAAAGAGAGATCGAGAAGGAGAGATCGAGTTTGGACACATTTGAGACTTACGGAGGCAAGAACACACTAGGAGCAAGGCGGAGAATTCTTTTACGAGTTTTTCAATTCCTTCTTCCTATTTCTATTATTGGTTATGAATTCTAGTATTGTAGTTATGCATACTAGTATGAATAGCTAATTTGTTATCTAGGGTTTTGATGGAACTTCTTGAAGGATGATTTTCTTGTTACGTTAATATAGATTTGTTGTAGTATTTTCTCTATTTGTTCAACTACGTTATTATTGTGGTTGGTTGAAGAGATCTCAATCGAGTGCCTATTTAGTGTGTATTACTCGGGAGACATTGCATATTTAGGTAGTTGTTGAACAACATCACTCCTAACGTATGTGATGGATCAGTACGGAGGGTTTAAAGGTGGGATTAGGGATAATGAAACCTTGGGTGCGATCCGAGTGAGCCGTACTTAATGCCAGCTAGCGTAATTCGGGAGAATATGTCTAGTAAATTGTTGTAGTTACTCGGGAAAGAGTTACGACAGTTAGAGCGCTCATGATTGGTAGAGAATACTTAGGCGAATTTATAGAAAACGTAGCGGGAAGGATTCCGACAATTGGGAAAATCATAACTCTAGATCTCCTTAATCTTGTCTCTAACCCTTAGTATCTGTAGTTGTTAATTTACTATTTTAATTTGTTAGTTAATTAGTTAAACACAAGAATCTTAATATCTATAAGTTAGGAATTGTTCAAGCTTGTCTTCTTGGTGATAGTGAACAATTGTAGCTAAACCTTAGTTCTCTGTGGGATTCGACTCCGGACTTGTAAACCGGATTATATTTGCAATGAGCGCTTAGTCCTTTTTATAAGGCATAGTTGGGCGTGATCACTTTTCACATACATATTATCTCGCTACAAGTTGTAGTGATAGAAGATATTAAAAATTTTCTTTATTTATAGTCTCAATATAACCGACTGCTTGTGAATACTTTAGAAACTCAATAAGTTTCTCTGAGACTTACTACGACACAATACCTTATTGATAATCAATTTTATTTCTCCAAAATAGTATAATTGGCTAATCCAGAGCGCTCAATTAATTTTGTACTACCACATATTCATCAACATCCTTATGGTGAATATCTCTTTGAAGGAGAAAGTTATACCATTATGGTCATGGTCAAAATCATTATTGATAAGATATGTTGCTTCCATTACTCTTGTCCTGTAATAATCACATTGACTTAATATTTTGGCACAATCACAATAGGTACATGATCAATGATCATTCATTCCATAATAATGAAATTATTTTCTTATTTCATCGAAAATATTTTTCTGGAAGTGAGTGTGATAAATTTACTACCACTGGAACATTCATATTCTTCCAAAAATAAATATGTATTCATAAATCACATGTTGTTTCATTCATATCATGAATTGACCATAATCATCTATATGTGATTTACAAAATCTCACGTCAAATCGATGAAAAACATCACTTTCAAAGATTGACTTATTATTTTGAGAATCTTTATTATTCTCATTATCACAATGATGACGATTATAATTTTGTTTATTGCCACGTCCGCATCAATTGATACCTTCACGGTAATAATTTTATTTTCTTTCAGATTTATCTCATACTGCTACCACATTCTATTAAGGGAACGAGAATGAAGTAAATTCAATGGGACGGATTTTCACTTCTTGTGCTCACAATCATACAAGAATTTGATCATGGCAAGACATAGAATTTGTACCACTTCGGGTGGTTATAATTTCTTACAAACTCTATTAGAGTTATAATCAAATTTTATTGTCTTTGCTTGTATTTAAAATCAAACTATAGAATTTCAAGAATTTAAAAGAAAAAAATAAGGTAAAATACTTACCTTAAATCCAGAATTTATTTCTAAAGGAAGTTCATAGGAATATCAATCCACTCACGCAAGAACCTCACGCAAATTCTTATATCTTCTCTCTACGGGTGGTTTAATTTCTCAAACATTAGACAATTAGTAAATAGTATATCTACAAATTAAAAGAACCACCTTCTATTCAATTGGTTAGTGTTATAAAACAATAAAAGAAGAAAAGAATATTGCAGGGAAAAGTAGAGAGAGGAAGAATTTTTATTGATTTGTAATAAACTATAATGGAATAAAATCCCTTTATTTATAAGAATAAAATGACTTAAGCATAAAATAACAAACTCTAACCAATTGAGTAGAATCATAAAATAAAATATCATTTCATTTATAACACAAAAGCACATATAGATAGCAAAAACAGTAACCAAAAAAAAAGGGCCTATACAACAAGTGAACCGATTGCGACACCGCACATAGGACAAACCTCCCCTCCTCTTCTCCAAATCCTTCTGCCGTCGGTCGTCGAATCGATAATGCAAAGATAATTGATATGAGCAGAGAAGAGCTAGACAATCCCATGACAGTAAGACCAAAACCAGCAGCACTAGCTATTGTAAATAATAATAACGGTTACCACCGAGATAATGAAGAAGAAGGAGAGTCAAAGCTCGAACCAAACGTCGGGTTAGAGTTCGATTCAGCTGAAGAAGCACAAGAATTTTACAATCTGTACGCAACAAAACTCGGATTCAGAATTAGAATCGGTCAGCTTTATCGGTCACGTGTTGATGGGTCAGTTATTTCTAGAAGATTCGTGTGTTCAAAGGAAGGGTTTCAAACTACTTCCAGAACGGGCTGCCCAGCTTTTATAAGAGTCCAAAAAGCCGATTCTGGAAAATGGGTTTTAGCTAATGTTAAAAAGGAACACAATCATGAACTTGAAAGCTCAGGTGAGATTTGTCCTTCCCGTATACAAAGAAAAAATATTCCAAATCCTAAATCCTCTGTTGTTGTTGTTGTATCGACTAGGACTGGACTTAGATCAATTGATGAGGATGGCCCAGGTCCATCTGGGATAATTGATCTTAAGCGTTTTAAAAGGGAAAAAATTGATGTAGAATTACAGCCTAGAGGTAGTGAACCATATAAGGGACTTGAATTTACTTCTGCTGGTGAAGCATATGAATTTTATAATGCATATGCTTCTAATTCCGGGTTTAAAGTCCGGATTGGCCAGCTGTTTCGTTCGAAAAATGATGGGTCGATTACCTCGCGAAGATTTGTTTGCTCTAAAGAAGGCCATCAACACCCGTCAAGAGTTGGGTGTGGCGCGTTCATGAGGATACAGAGACAAGATACGGGACGATGGTTGGTTGATCGTTTTCAAAATGAGCATAATCATGAACTTGGCCTGCCCGCTGATGCTAGTGGGAGAGTAAAAGGATTTAAAGAAGAAGCGAGCACTGTGTTGGAGAATATGGATTTAGTTGAATTAAATGGTGGCCTTAGCCTTGTTACACGAGGCCGGGAGAGTAGAATTGGGAGTGATTGGTATAATGAGCTTTTTGAGTATTTTCAGGCTAGGCAAGCAGACGATATGGGATTTTTTTATGCAGTGGAGATGCATAATGGTAGAGCTATGAGTGTATTCTGGGCTGATGCCCGGTCTAGATTTTCTTGCACTCAATTTGGTGATGCAGTTGTTTTTGACACGACATATAGAAAGGGGGGTAGTTACTCAGTGCCACTTGCTTCATTCATTGGGATTAATCACCACAGGCAGCCCGTGCTTCTTGGCTGTGCCTTAATTGCGGAAGAGTCTGAAGAGTCATTTACTTGGGTGTTTCAAGCATGGCTTCGCGCAATGTCAGGGCGCCATCCTGTCTCTATAGTCGCTGATCAGGACAGAGCCATTCAACATTCAATTGCTCAAGTTTTCCCAGGAACACATCATCGTTTTTCTGCATGGCAACTTAAGGCTACGGAGCAGGAAAATATTGGTGAATTGCTCTCTATGAATCCTGAATTTAAGTATGAATATGAAACTTGTATTTTCCAGAGCCAGACGGCTAATGAGTTTGAAGCAGCATGGAATGTGCTAGTTAACAAATATAATTTAAGAAAGAACACATGGTTAATGGAGATGTATAGGATGCGCAAGAGTTGGGTGCCTTTACACATCAGGGGCACATTCTTTGCTGGCATTCCAATGGACGGAAGCTTGAAATCATATTTTGGCACCATATTGACATCTCAAACACCACTCAATGAATTTCTTATACGGTACCAAAAAGCCCTTGAGCAACGCCGCGAAGAGGAAAGGAAAGAGGATTTTAACTCGTTCAATTTACAAGCAGTTCTGCACACGAAGGACCCTATAGAAGACCAGTGTAGAAGGCTTTACACTATTACTATGTTCCAAGTGTTTCAAAAAGAGCTTTTGGAGTGCTATAGCTTTGTTGGAATTAAGATAAATGTTGAAGGTGCCATTAGTAGGTATCTGGTGCAGAAGAGTGGGAGTGGAGATGAGAGGAACACAGTTGCCTTTAATGCCTCGAATCTTAATGTCAGTTGCAGTTGTAAAATGTTTGAGTTTGAAGGTGTGCTGTGTAGACATGCGTTGAAAGTTTTTCAGATTATGAACGTAAGGGAGCTTCCGTCTCGCTATATCCTACATCGCTGGACAAAGGATGCAAAATATGGTATACTACGGGATGTTGATTCAGGGGGTGCTTCTCAAGATCATAAGGCATTGATGTTGTGGAGCTTAAGAGAAGAAGCAAAGAACTACATTGAGGCAGGAACAGCATCTTTAGAAAGATACAAACTTGCGTTTGAGATCATGCAGGAGGGTAGAAGAAATCTTTGTTGGCAAAACTAGGGAAGTACGTGGTATAACAAACATAGATCAGAGGTATTTCCCTCCTCTTTTGCCTTTTGTTTCATCACTATGAGTTGATCTGAATCTCCAATGACGATTTTCATAATTTGTACTGCATGTGCTAATTTTACATTTTTTCCACACAAAAGAACCGCTTATATATTTCTTTTACCTTCTCCACGCAGAATTACTGAAGTATCATATTGCATTATGATTTCTTATTCATCTGAATCAGCCATTCATAAGCACAGATACCATTTTATTCCCTGGCGAAATTTTCCCGCGCTTGATCAACAATCATATTATATTGCATTGTGATCTGCAGTTATTTTTTTGATATGATTCATTTCTGAGTACGAGTTAGCGCTCAATGTTATGTGATAGTTTCTCAAATAATGCATGTGCAGAAGTTGTTGATGTACATGTTTTTCTACTAAGTTTATCAAATATATCAAATAACTATGTTTTTTCTGTTTGATTTATTCAACTGCCATGCTATTTTTTTTTTATATTTTTTTTGGATAGGTTCAACTGCCCAAATAGATAGACGGCCCCTTGAAAGTTGCCACAACTTTTCACTTAGACACCTCAACCGAGGTTGTTTCCTATTGAACACCCCTATTAAACCTTCCAATGATAACCAATCAAGAAAATAAAATGCATTTCATTCATACACTGATGATGTGGCAAAGTGACAAATGAAATGAAGACATGTGGCATTTGGGCCCGTTTGTTTCAATAATCAATAAGCATTTTCTAAAAATAGAGGTTCTCTAATATTGGTACTTTTTTCTATATTGCAATACAATTCTTTAACCAAACTAAAATTTCTCCCAGACACAAGGCCTAAAGTAAATGTCACAAATGACAAAACAACAACTAAGCCTTAATCAATTTGGTATCATTTATATGGATTTTTTTTACTTCCATTGTTTTCTATTCTTGCTCTGTCCACATGGAGTCCAAGACTCTCCATGTTATTTTAGGTCAACCTCGTCTCTTTTTAACATGTTCAATAATCATAGTATCACTTCTAAGGATTGGTGCATTGGGAGGTCTCTTTAAGACTGAACTCAGATAACTCTTTCTCATGGGTCTGTGGACTGCTTGCCCACTATTTGGGTCTGATCATTTCTAATAGTCGCCAGCTTCTGTTGAACTTGATTTCTAGGTCAGAGACTTTTGGCCATCTTGAAAAGTGATAGCCTTGCAGAACATTGAAGCCAATGTCAAATTTTTGATGATCAACTTGTGCAATCTTGTCGCAGTCTGTTGTACCAACAATTTTGGTAAATTCCAGAGCTTTCAAGCCTTGCTGCATATTTTGGATTAGACCAGAGTTGCCAATGATAATTCAAACATTGTTGATGCCACCGAAAAGTGAGCCTTCCTCAAGCAAACAAATCATCATATGGCTAATTTTCTTTCTCAACCACAAACTGCAACTGTGAATTAAAGATGTTCCTACGAAATGGTACTCTCCAGTTGTTTAGTAACACTGGACAATTGTGGTACTGAAAGAAGCTTTTGAAGTTTGGGGAAAATGGAAAGTTTGAAAATCCATCATCGACCTGTGGAAAATGGTTCCTCCAGCGATCATAAGGTTCATTTGGAAAGAAAGAACTCAATGCTGTTCTCATGGAATTTCAACTCCGATTCATTTTCAAGGCTAGAAGTTTGATGAATCTTTTTGCTTGGAGCAGACTATGTACTGTAAATAGTATTGACACTCTTTTGGATTTTGTAAGCTCCTTAAATTTTTCCTAGGAGTCATCTGACATTGTACAGATGCTGTCTTTTTTGTAATCTTTTTGCATCTTCTGGATGCTGAATGAATGAAATTTATTCTCTTGATAAAAAAAGAAAAACTGGAAAATTGTGGTACTGTCCTTCGAGCAACTGCATCTTGATATTAATTATTAAACACGTCAGGATCAGATTCTGATTGGCATGAAAATGATGAAGCGACCACTCAGTTTTCTATTGTCATAGCTCATGGGCATATATTTGATAACTTAGTCACATGTAATCACTTTGAGAAAATTACTGTAACGACCCGACCGGTCGTTTTGAGCGTTTGCGTCTCGTGCGTGCCAAGACCTAGTGTTACAAGTGTGGGCAATCTAGTAGAATATAACCATACTATCCTACTGTCTCGAAAAGAAATAGACAGGAACATAAAAAAAAGAGACTCCAGCTGCTGCAGATCGGCTCAAAAGGGCAGCTCACCGGAAAGTCTCAAGCTGAGGAGTCCACTCTATGCGCCGGACTGATGGCCAGATGCACTTGCCTCAAAGCCTGTACAATCAAGTACAGAAGTGTAGCATGAGTACATAAAAATATGTACCCAGTAAGTATCTCGCCTAACCTCGCAGAAGTAGTGACGAGGGGTCAACTCCGACACTTACTAGGGCCAACAATGTAATAATGTGAAGTTCCAATTCTTAAAGCATAATGTATGAAAATAACAGTCAAGCTTAACTAGAACAATAACCGAGGAATTTCCTCCACCTCTCTTAAGAAGGCAAGACACCTTCTTTATTTAAAACAAGTCGTATATCAAGTAATGAAGTATACAATTACAAAGAGTTCCCATACTATTATCACACACAATTATCACCCAGGACGTTCGGTCCGATCCAACATAAAAGTAAAATATGCACTGTCGAGGGTCGAACGGCACGAACCATAGATGCATCTATTCACCCCGCTCGCGAATCATACATGCGATGCGGTAAAAGCATAACCCTTCTCGCGAATCATACACGTGACGCGGTCAAACATAATTTTCATCATTTAAAACACAACACTTCTTTAATTCCTTTTTCAAAAAAAAAAAAATACAATTCACTTGAAACCTGTGAATCCTTAGATTTTCTTCCACTTAATCACTTTCATACAATTAGCGCATATAAGCAAATAATAGTGTTCATAAAGCATGATGTAAACCTAGAACTATCCGGACATAACAGGAATAGTAGCTACGTACGGACTCTCGTCACTTCGTGCGTACGTAGCCGCCATAATTAATCATATATTATTTAAGTTCACCTATGGGCAAATTTCCCCCTTACAAGGTTAGAAAAGAGACTTACCTCGTTTCGAGCCTACTTCCAACTTAAGAACGCGTTCAAACTCTCAAACCGGAGTCACACAATCCGAAACTATTCAAATAATGTAAAAACCAATCATTATAGGTTTACAAATTCATATTCTAGCTATTAAAGTGATTATCCAACCCCAAAGGCAAGGTTCCAAAAATTCACCCCGGGGTCCACGTGCCCGGATTCCGGAAATTTTCGAAGGAAGTTGTTACCCATAACCTAAGGATCAAGAATATAAAATTTTTACTTCATTCCATAACGAATTTCGTGGTTAAATCTTGTTTTTATCAAAAACCTAGGTTTTACTCTAATCCCATGATATTCACTAATCTATACATGTTAATCTACCCAAAATTCAAGTATTTAACTCACATATTGTAGAAATTACTTACCTTCAAAAGCTTGGTGAAGAACCTCTCTCAAAAAGCTCAAAAATCGTCTACAATGGAGTGAAAAATGAGCCAAAACATCTAACTCCCGTAATAAATGAAGGTCACTGCCTTGAGTGATTTTCGCATCTGCGGTACTGGGCCGCACCTGCGCGCACCGCATCTGTGGAAAAGTGTCCGCTTCTGCGGAACTCCACTGGGCCGGCTGGGCCGCTTCTGCGGAAAGCAAACCGCTTCTGTTGTTCCGTTTCTACGGAAAGGAGGCCGCTTCCGCGGTTTCTGGGCTGGCCACCCATGGCCGTATCTGCGATGGCTTATCCGCTACTGCGGGCTCGCGCCTGCGGCTGGCTAATCGCGGGTGCGGTTATGACAGAAACCTGGAGCTTTAGCTCCTTCTCACATTTTTCACTTAGCTCGAGCCTCGTCCGATTGACGCTCGGGGCCTCCCGGGGCCCCGCCAGAACACACCCACAAGTTTGAAATGATAAAACGGACTCGCTAGAACCCTCGGAACTCCAGAAACAACATTAAAACTAGGAATCACACCCTAAAACCAATTGATTCAAACTTATGAACTTTAAGTTCTTCAATTTATTTCCAATGTGACGAAACACACTTACACTACTCGGATTGACACCAAATTTTACGTGCAAGTCTTAAATGACATTAAAGAACTATTCTCGGTCTCTGAATTCCGTTCGGACCTCGATAACACAAAAACCCACTCCAAACCAAATTTAAAGAACTTCAAAATCCTTTAGGAATCAACTTCCACTATTAGGCGCCAAAACGTTCCCGGGTCATCTAAAATCCGATTCGGGCATACGTCCAAGTCCGAATCATCATACGAACCTATTGGAACCGTCAAATCCTGATTCCGAGGTCGTTTACTCTAAATGTTGACCGAAGTCAAACTTGGCCTTCTAAGCCAACCTTAAGGAACCAAGTGTTCCGATTTCAACCCAAACTCTTCCAAATCCCGAACCAACCATCCCTGCAAGTCATAAATCAGTTAAAGCAAGTACCAGAAGTCTTATTTAGGGGAATGAGGTTCTAGAAAGCAAAACGACCGGTCGGGTCGTTACATTCTCCACCTCTTAACAAACGTTTGTCCTCGAACGGGTTTAGATTCATACCTGAAGTGCTAAATAAGTGTGGATATCTGCTCCGCATGTCCTCCTCGGACTCCCAGATCGTCTCCTCAGCTGGTTGGCCCTTCCACTGAACCATTACTGCAGAAATCCTCTTGGATCTCAACTAGTGATCCTGTCTATCAACAATGGCAACTGGGTCCTCCTCAAAACCCAAGCTCTCATCTAGCCGAATATTACTGAAGTCTAACACATGAGACAAATCGGCGTGATACCTCCAAAGCATAGACACGTGAAAAACTGGATGAACCCCTGATAGGCTGGGAGGTAAAGCAAGCTCATAAGCAACCTCCCCAACTCGCCTCAACACTTCAAATGGGCCTACAAACCTTGGGCTCAACTTGCCCTTCTTCCCGAATCTCATAATACCCTTCATCGGCGAGACTTTCAAGAGAACCTTCTCGCCGACCATGAATGATACATCACGCGCCTTCTGATCCGCGTAACTCTTCTGTCTGGACTATGCTGTGAGAAGTCTCTCTTGTATTATCTTTACCTTTTCCAAGGCATCCTTCACCAAATCAGTACTGTATAACTTGGCCTCGCCAGGCTCAAACCACCCGATAGGGTAATGACATCGCCGACCATATAAAGCCTCAAATGGAGCCATCTCGATGCTGTACAGATAGCTGTTGTTGTAAGAAAAATCAGCCAAAGGCAAGAACTGATCCCACTGCCTTCCAAAGTCAATCACGCATGCTCTCAGCATGTCCTCTAATATCTGAACTGTCCGCTCCGACTGCCCGTCGGTCTGAGGATGAAATGCTGTGCTGAGCTCCACACGAGTCCCCAACTCACTCTGAATAGCTCTCCAAAAATGTGAGGTAAACTGAGGGCCCCTATCTGATATGATGGAAACGGGCACACCGTGCAACCAAACTATCTCCCGAATATAAATCTAGGCCAACCTCTCTGAAGTATAGGTAGTCACAACTGGAATGAAGTGTGCCGACTTGGTCAACCTGTCGACAATGACCCAAACCGCATCAAACTTCCGCAAAGTCCGCGGTAACCCAACTACGAAGTCCATAGTAATGCGCTCTCATTTCCACTCAGGTATAGTTGCAGTTAGTTGTCTTCTTTTTTGTGACATAATCTTTCATCCATATTCGTTCCTTAACTTGTCTTGTAGACTTTCTGTCTGGTCTTGAAATCCCTCATCTTCATCTTCCTGCCTGCTGACTGAGATCTCTGCATCTCCTTGATGTTCATCACTTTGTGTACCTGCATGAACAATATCCATATTATGCACATTCTGAGAAGTTTCTTGTATATCATCAGTGTTTATCTCCTGCAGGACTGGTAGATTCTGTTGCAGACCACTCTGCCTATTGTCTTGTGTATCTTCTGCTTTGAGGTTGATACATTTCCATCATATATGTTGCCACCTGGCTGTGTGTGTAGAGGTGAGAATTGCAGTGTTCCTTGCTCCATGTACTCCTATGCATCATATGATCTGCTTCCATCTTTCTTAGAAAATGGAAACTCTGATTCTTTGAATATGACATCTCTACTTGTAAAAAACTGCTTTGTGGCTAAATCAAGCAGAATATAACCCTTTTGTGTCTCAGAATATCCTATGAGAATGGCTACTTTGGCCCTCTCTGCAAACTTGTCCATCTTGACTAAATTTGTTGCATAGCACAAGCAACCTATAGTTCTCAAATGTGTAATATTAGCATTCTTGTGATGCAACAACTCATATGGAGTTTTTCCCCCTAGAACACTTGATGGTAACCTATTAATCAGGTATACTGTTGTCTTAACACACATCCCCCAGTATCTTATTGGAATT